ATCGAGGAATTCGGAAATCACAAGACTCGAGCGATTCCGAGAAATTTCGGCAAAAAAAAAGAAGAAGGATACTGCGGTATCTCAAAATTCAAATACGAAAATTTTGGCACGACAGGGACGAAAGATCAACGAAGATAATTTCGTCGATTTACGCGATATTAGAAAAAAAAAGATCTCTCTTATTTGGTACGAGTTTTCACTCCGATGGTATTCGCTATAAGAGTTAAAATCCAAGAAGACACGAACTTTTTAAGTTCGATATATATGTCGCAAAATCATATTCGAGAGAATGCCCGGGGCCCGGCCGGTCGCTAATTATCGCGGAGATTTTTGTCAGGGCGCGGCGGGCGCACTTGCTCGTCCCCGATAGATCAAATTACTGGGATTACACCGCGCTCTCGCATCTGGCTGCATTACAGCTTACAGCGGACAGCGCACGTCCGGCGCATTCCTGTATACCTGCACCGCGCGTAGACGCGGCTATCGATTCGAGATGATTAGCGATAATGTCAAGGGAGTCCGGAGGCACGTCCGCGATGGCTCCGTGACCGAGGCGCGCCTTCTGTGTCGGCTGCGGTCGCCAACGTACAGCCGCCGATCTACGTAACTATGATTCCACCTAATTGAAGTAACCACAGGGCGCAACGCGCCACGTTACGCCGGCGAATCGCAATCGACCGCGGGGGAAGAGACGGGAGGGAGGAGAAAGAAGCGCTTCATCGCCAAGAGAAAACGCGAGGAGGCTGGCCGAAGGCAGTGGCAGATCCGGACAGATCCCTCGACGGCGCGACGTTCGTATAATGCATTGAGCTTCGCGCGTGAGAACATTCCTGATTGCGTTACGAAATATACTTTATCGTAAAAAATTTAAGATTTTAAGACCAATCTTATTTTCATCAATTACTTTATATACATATACACGGAATAAATGCTATATTAATGATGTATTAATTTTGTTTATTTGACAACAATATTTAATGAAGCAAATACGTGTGTTTTATTAAAACGAGAGCACGACGTATTGAATTAACAAGATTATTTCCGATTAGACCAATGCTGTTAATACATTATTAGTTTATAAAAAAATAGAGGCCGATATCACAGTCTTCGATTAACGTGATTCTCCGATTAAACTCACTCTGCGTCTCTTTCTAACTGTCCTTCTAGAAAGAGACAAAGAGCGAGTTTAATCGGAGGATCACGTTAATCGGAGACTGTGATATCGGCCCTAAACTATACAAGAACGTATTATACCGATATAATAGAAATGTATATTCACCTTTCGCACGTAATAATTACAAATCAAATTCAAATTAATGATAAATCGGGGAATACCAAAATCGTCTGTTGCTGAATAATTAAAATTTCAAGCGGCTTTCATCGCGCATTAATTTCTCGCCCTGAGGCTCCGCGTCCGCTGGATCCGCCACTGAAAGGAAGAGACAAGGGGACAAGGGGATGGAGAGGGGAGAGGGGAGGAAGACGCGGCGGGCACGGAGAAGAACGGCCGTGTGGATGACGGTGGGCGATCCACGTCGGCGATATCCCATCAGACCGTCAAATGACCGCCTCCCGTGTTTCTGCGTCTCCGCGGCCCCTGTATTTCCGCTCGCACGTGCCGGATCGACGAGGGGATTCTCGGCTCCGGTTCTTGGCCCGGGAGTACCTTCCCCCTTCCCGCCCCTCCCGCCACTCCTCAATACCTCCCTGTATCGCGCGGTTGTCATTACTGCATGGGTACCGATCGAGATCAAGGGGGAACGCGCGGCAAGAAAGAAGATCGATCGATCTAACGTTACATTCAAGCGACAATTACAGAAGCAGATTCGAGTTTCGACGGTTCGGGAGATAAAAAGATTAAAAAAAAAGAGAGAGAAACGAGAGCCTTCCTCGAGATTCCGCGAGACTGCCGACGCGGATATTCGGAGTATCGAAGATGCGGAAATCGAAAATGTTAGAATACGTCACGTTTGATCTCGCTTTTCGAGCGACACGAGGGAAAATTTCCTTAACGCCGATATTTATTATATCGAAGCTCGCGCGATGTCGATTACGTGCTTCAGCCGCGCGTAAATCGGCCACAGCTGGCCAAGAGTGAAAATAAATTCGAATCGAGTACATATAAATTTACTCACCGCAGTCGATGACGCCTCCTCTCCCCCTCGATCCCGGGTCGTCGCGTTCCCGGCCGCTGCTCCGCCGCTCCGGAAGCTCGTTCCCACGGATGCAGGTTCCTTCCCCAGGAAGCACTACCGAACGCGATTGCACAACGCGACGCGACGCGACGCGAATAATCGCCCGACACTTTCTACGGCACTCCCGACGTTTCATCGCGCGCGCGCGCGCGCGATCGACGGATCGACGAATTGTTCAAAGTGTCCGAAATCCGCACGTAATGCACGTAATGCACTTCCGAAAGTTCCGAATAAGTAACGGCGAAACATGGCGACTCGCCCGTTTACTCCCGGCGTTCGCCGGGAGAGTTTCAATCCCGCCAAGTTCCAATCACGCGCCGCCAACTTCACGCGGCTCGCGGGGCTCGCGCGACGCGTGACGTCATCACGATGAAGGCCAAAGGCGTACCGAAAAGCGGAGCGTCGCCATCGGATACCTCGTTCGATCTGATGATCTCTTTCATGATTTCAGGCACTTTTTCACGAGTCGGGCGATCGAGTAGCGCGAGATGACGCGCCGTAATTAAGCAGAATGTTCAATGATCGAGCAGACTCACTCGGAGGGAAGGGGGGGGGCGGCACCCTCCGGCTTGCTTGGCCGAAAGCCGATTGAGGCTCAATCGCGATTGTTCACACTACCCGATATTCCACAATGCTCGCCGTCGCTCGGCTCGGCACTAGCGAGCTTTGTTCACCCGCGGGACTCGCTCTCGGCAGGAAAAACGTGCGGAAAACTCGAACGCGACCGCGCGCGATTCCCGAAACTTGTGTGACTTGCCGTCGAGGCAATGGCCGCGATGTAACTACGTGACTCAGACGAAAAGGCGGCGCGCGCCGCGCGATGATGGGAGAGGGGAGTGCGGGCGGCGCGCGGCGAGCCGAGAACGTAAACAGGGCAAAAAACCGTCTATTCGAGGCCGTATATCGCATATACAATGTGACCAAATCTTCATCGAGAACTTTAACGCGATTTATATTTCGATTGTAATAATTATGCGTTGGTTTTGGTCGTGATAATTGATACGTGAGCACGGGAGCAACTTCATAGCGTAAAACGTTTCTTCGCTACGATGCCACGACTGACGAGAGTCTCTCTCTCTCTCAATTGAAATGTATTTTCAGCCACGATCACCGAAAAATCTCTCGTAAACTTGATTAAATTAATATATTCGGTATCGTCTAAATGCGTACACATTCACAGTTACGAAAAACACACGATTTTCGACTCGACGTGAAAGCGGCACTTGTCACGCACATCGAGGTTCGTCCGACAATGAGTTCGATGAAAGACAAATCGCGGGCTCACATACCGCGTCTGGTAGTCCTCGATTATCATCGATCGCTGGATTCGGCACTCTCGACGTTCGCTTGTACGGGGCTCGATCTCGAGCGGGGAAAACGGGCGAAAAACGAGCGGAAAGCGTGAAACTGCGATGGGGACAATGGCTCGGCACGGGCGGCCCGTGACGTCACGACTACGCGAATCAAACGAGGCGCAAGCGTTTCGCGCCGCGCGACGAGCCGAGAGCATAAATGATTAAAGAGTCTTAAAATAATTGACGCGTGATATGCTATTTCAAATACAATAATTCAAGTATACATCAAAATGATATATTGACAATCTATTCTAAATAATTTTTAAACACGAATTTTTAAACACGATTATTCAAAGGATTTTTCGTTTAAATTTAAGATGAAAAATCGGGTGTTCAATAGTACGACAAATACAATCGTAGAATGTTACGCGTATTCGCACTCAATATCGTAATAAAATATTAGAACTTATTTGGTACAAATTTTAATATTTAATTTGATCATAATAATTGTATTTTAATTGATTAATTGATTAAATGTGTAATTTGGTCACTACATATTTGTAAGATTATTATATCATAATCGTGGCGAACATGGATCAGATTCCGTGATGGTCGTCCATCGCTCGATTCAACCCTTTCGACGCTCGTTCATACGAAAAATGTGGAAAACAATGCGTGCGTGAAGAATGCGGGCCGATCGCGCGCGATTTCTGAAAATGGGCACAATATGAACTATGCGAGTCAAACAGAACATGTACACGCGTGCCGAGCTGAAAATAAGGACAATATATACAGCCTAACATTGTCATGTATTTTTCGCGGATTATCGATAAATATGAAATAATAATGAGACGCGCCGAATTTACCATCGCGAATTTTAATGCGCGATTAATTTTTCCATCGTAATAATTATGTTGGTATATTAATGCGCGATTTTAAATGTCTCATCTGGCGCTATTCTAATTCGAGTCTTTTCTCAAGTGTAATTAATTAAAGAATCTTGCATGAATTTAAGACAGAAGATCGGATGTTCGGACTCGTAGCGAATAATATTACTTCTTTCGTCGAATGACTAATATCAAATTTTCTGGAATATACAATATTTTCGGAATAAAATGACATTTCTATAAATTCCTATTAAAAAATTTTTTAAGAGCGTATAAAATTCCAAACGTAAACAGGACGTATATCTATATTTGTTATATGATGAGCAGAAGCGGTATTTTCTCATCGTATTCACAATTACCTTAATTTTATTTGACTGACGCGATCTGTTATTAAATTCTATTTTATCATGAAATATAACGGAATCTCATTAAATAATTAACAAGTCTTATTTATATAGATAAATCATATTTTTAAACACTTGATCTTCGCGATCTCACGTAGAATAATAATTCTCACCTCTCGGGATAGCGTCAGTATTTTTGTTCAATAAGATAAGGATGATACGAGATACGCTAATACAATGAGAGAATCAGATTACTTGACGCGAATAAAACAATCGAGCGTCGTATACATGGTATAAATATATTTATGCGAATATTTTGTTACATGATCGTGTCTACATATTACGACACGACATTACAGTGCTAATAAATGCTGTTACTTTTAACTGGATTCGTAGTGTAAAAGTTGATTAAACCTTTTTGATAAAATGCTTTCTCTCGCAACACTCCCCATTCGACGTCCACATATCGAATGCATCACGACGAGCATTCGTATGTGTTAATAGTACTAACGATATGCGACAGGTCGAACAATTATAAAAAAATCGCATGCCGCCGGGGCTGAATTATTTATAAATTCATTGCATGCAGCATCGTGATAATTGAAAGAATCGTAAATATCGTTCACAGCGTTATCCAAAATTGGAATAGTGCGCCGTTATTTTTTATTCCCCTCCTCCCCCAATTATCGTTACTCTTCCCATTGCAGGCAATCGTCATTCTCTCCCTTTTTCCTCGGTTCGATTTTTTTTAAACAGTCTTAAAGCTTCCCATCACGTAATAAATGCATCCAGTGCAGTCGCGGGATGGAAGGGAGGCTTAACATTGGTTTAGAAGCTCTTTAATTCTGATTTATTAGGTGGTAAAGTTGCTGAAAAATACTTTGCTATGTAGGAAAACAGCGTTCAAAAACATACAAAAAAATTGGTCGATTTTCTTGAAAACTTTCCTTCGTCAAGACAGCTGCCGTGTGTGATTTAAAAAATGTAATTCCGAAGATTTATTATTAATATTGGAGAGCTTTTGCGATAACACGCTTGTAACGGGACAAGTAACAAAACTACTCGTTGCGACAATTTCCGTCTTGGAATTATACTAAATTATGCAGATTAGTTTGCGGTATCGGAAACGCGGTATTGCAAGAGCTCCCCAATATCAATAACAATACTTTATAATAGACAGGTTGTCAGAATTAGTAATAGTCTTTTTGTGTCACATTCAATCGACAGTATATCTAAGTGATACTGTTAAGATACTTATGGTTTTATACATTCATCATAGAGCTCCTAATACTGACGTCGCCGAGAACGGAAATTTCATTCTAAAATGAAAAAAAAATCATCGTTTTAGCGAAAAATACTTGAGCACTCTGTTACTCAAATGAGCACTCTGTCAGATACCGACGACTCAGACACTTATGTCTCGGTAAACGTTTCGACTTAAAAAAATATTGTTGACAATAGCACCAATCTCTATTTGTTTCGCCATCTCTGTACCTGTTAAGTGTAAACGTCAAAAGTCAACGAGTTTAGAACAAATTTCGAGATTTATCTGAAAATCCCCACTCCAAACGCCTCTTCCTCGAAAATTGTATTGGAAAATGAAAGCTTTGTGCAATAACTTTCCTCGAAAAAAAACAGTCGTTATTATTTGATAGAAAAGTTTTATCTGGCTTTACAAACTCAGAGTCATTATCGCACGCCTCAATACCTCGTGGAATGTGTCTGCAGTTACCTGACGTTCGCACGATTTGCTTATCCTTTCCGAATACGATTACGAACTCGTGTAGAGGCAAATTTAGTTCTATTCAAAATACAGAGTATACTACACACAAAACCGTCGCCTGGTACTACAGTGTCGTTTTGAAATCAGGCATGCGTCCCACCGATGGCAATACCTTGTCAGCTTGTTCACCTTACAGAAGCGTACACTTCCTCTTCTTTACCGGCTCAGGTGGTTCCAGTGCGGCTAAAATAGCTTCGTCGAATACGTTCTTCAAGCCTTTCTGATATGTCAAAGAAACCACAATTTCATGTTATATGATACATTATTTAGAAATAATATATTAAAAAAATATAATTCTCCTTTATTTTTCATTCTCAAGTAGTACACAGTTCATTTATTCATAAATTTGATGATCATTATATTTGATAAACGTAACATTTTAACATATTCTGTTCTAAATTTCAAAAAAAAATTATTTTCTACACACAAATGTGCCACAATTATGTCAAAAAATGTTTAACAGATGAAGCTTTCAACTAAAACAAAAATTACTGATTTTTTACTCACCTGCGTCAAAGCACTGCACTCTACATATTTTACAGCCTTGAGTTCCTTGGCGAGTTTTTCTCCTTGCTCCCCAGATATCGGCTTCTGTTTGTTCTTTGCGAGTTTCTCTATTGTTGCAACGTCATCTCTCAAATCAATTTGCGTTCCGACGAGTAAAAATGGAGTTCTCTGACAGTGATGCGTTATTTCTGGCACCCACTGCAAAACGATATGTCAGTACAACAGGACTTCAGTTAATGCAAAACGTAATGTACAGAAATAGACAAACACATCACCTTTTCTTTTACATTTTCAAAGGACGACGGCGACACGACTGAGAAACATACGAGAAACACGTCGGTCTGAGGATAACTTAAAGGACGCAATCTGTCATAATCTTCCTGACCTAAGAAATAAAAGATAAAGACAAAGATTACAAAATATTACTTAGGATAACCTTTGGGAAATAATGTAAAAAAAAAAGAAATATTACCTGCTGTATCAAATAATCCTAATGTATATGGGTCACCTCCTATCATCACAGTTACCGCGTAGTTGTCAAAAACAGTAGGCACATATTCAGAAGGGAACTTGTTCGTGGTATACGAAATCAAGAGACACGTTTTACCAACCGCTCCATCACCCACCACAACGCACTTTATCGTCTGCATCTTGATGATTTTTACGTGACCTGAAACACAAATCCACATGTGACTGAAACCCATAATCATCTGTAACAAAGGGAGATCAATAGTAATTAAAAAGAGAGTTCCAGCGTTTACACAAAAGTAAAGAAGATATCCTGATCGATTGAAATCAAACTCGGTTCTTATATCGAGTATCCGTATTGTTCAACTAAGCAGTCTTCATTATCGCACAACAAATTTTCATATCAGTTAAACCTTCAATCCACGTACATTAATAAACATATTGCTCAATATTTTCTTATCAATAATGTAAACCTTATAATCTATTCTATACGTAACAACAAACGTAAGTGTAGTAAGCGATAAAAAGATCCTATTGACGGAACATCAGCAAAATTAATGTGCAGTAATATTGTAATATTGATAAATAGCATCGAATAATTATCTCGGAGTATAGGAGCCTTTCGTGGCTGACGTATTCCGCCTTCAACCTAACCTGACCGTAGGTGTGTACCTGCGGCGCGGGGAGCCGCACGTCGTCGGTCGAGATTCTCTCGCCGCGGGACACCGGGAGGCTTTCGCGACGCGACGCAATGCGAATGCGAGCTTCTCCCCGAGCGGACTCCCCAGATACCGCGGAGCACGTTACCTGGATATGCGGGGCTGTCATTAAAGGATTAAAGGTTAAGACCGCCGCAGCTCATAATCCCGAACGGCGCGGCGCGGCGGATGCGGCTTCGGGCGTGCCGGTGGCGAGTTCTCGGTCCACGTAGTCGCGCTTGACGGCGAGCTTGCGAGATCCTTGCACAAGTTACGCTCCAACTCCACGGGCCCTTATCGTGCCATGTATGTTATTTTTTTCCTCGTCGACGACCGCGATTTTCGGAGAGAGATCCTCTGGCCACGGCAGGCCACGGTTAAAGCCGGGTCCCTATGCCGATGCGCGGAGAGATTTAATTTAGGACGCGTCCTCAAGCGAAACGGTCCCAGTTTCCGGCTGCCACAAAATGGCGCTCGGTTTGAAAGGTCCCTCTGGTAGACTGCAATATTGAAATGATCATATTCTTCTTTCATTCTTTCTGCTTCAGTTTCAATATTAATTACGTTTAGAAAATGCATGCATTATCTGAGCAATAATGGGTTTGTCATGAACAATATCACAAGTGTAGAAATAATTTAGACACTATTGATACGTGTATTAAAATAAAAATTGTATAATAAAATTTTCCATATTTCTAAACAATTATGTTAAATAATCTTTGTCTTAATTTAATTACAGGAGTATTTTATATATATATGTATATATTAATTTGTTCTAGACATTTTCTCTCTCTCTTTCTCTCTCCCCCTCTCTTTAACACATATAGACCCATATAAAATGTTAAGACATGTATACACTCTCTGAATAAAAAAATAGCTTTTCTAATAATTTTTGTGACTTTATCAGTTGCCCGCACGATTGTCGCGAGAGCAACGACTTCTTCGTATAGCTTGTAAGGACGTATGTTATTGTTTCATTATTGCCAGCGTTTAGAACTTTTTTACTATCTCGCTTCTGGTTTCGAAAATGGCTGAAGCGAACCAGGTTGTACCCACGACAAACCTAACGGCTTATTCTCTTCTTCGCCCTGCAAAACGATAAATTGATCAGATCTGTCAACTTAATGCGTTTTATCGTAGTGAGTGATACTTGTTTAATCAAGTACTTATTTACTTTTGACTCGTAAATCTCTCGTCTAATGGGATCGTGTAGTTCATTCACATATGGATTAAATGTAATGTAATGCGGATCATCCATGGTAGGTGGATTAAACACTTGATTCACACTTTCCTTTACGCACGCTTTCACACGTTCCCGGAAAGCCACAGAATTATTTTCCTGCCTGTAATGTCGCCAATTAATTCTCGCATCTAGATATTCTGGAAGATACTTTACTTTTCACATTTCCTTTAAGTACAAATGTACTTACAAGCTAGATGCCTCCTCATTTACCGAAGTCATTTTCGTATCTAGTTTAGTAAATATCTTAGTGATATATTGCAACAATTGCCCAATTCTGTTATTTCTCCTCCACTCGGGAAATCCCCACGATGTGCACAATTCTCCATTTTCTGGATTTATTAATGGATGGAAGATTTGAGTTTCAAACACAACTTTCTGAAACACGTTCAAATTACGTATAAAAAAATTACGTATAAGACTGATTATATACGGGTGAATATTCTTACAGGGCAATCTCCAAGTGGGAAGTTCGAAGGCAGTGTAATGGTGAATCTGAAAACTCCGCCTCTGTAGATTCCTTGCCGAATGAACTGTACGCCAAACCATACTGTGACAAAGTGCGAAAAATAGTGAGTATTAGAACTTTTTACAATCGCCAATTCAACTGCGTTAAAGTGAAACAGGCAAGAGAGATGGATATATTTACATCAGAACCGTTATACAAGTCGTAATCGGGGCGAGCAAGACCTATAAAATAGGTTTACACCTATCAAAAACACACTAACATTTCAATAAAAAGAAACGCAGTATGCGAACGAGGAAACAAAGAACAATGAGCATTTGTTCCTCCGCATGCAAGTCACAGAATGGCATTCAATCGCTTTCGGTTTTCGAAGCGTTAATATCACAGATTAAAGTTATCATAGAAAATTGGCATGCCGAATCACGAATGTGACTAAATACAACTCGTACAATCTTTGGCGATACTTACAAAAAGCGTTCAGAGCGGACGGTACCACATAAATTCCCTTCAAATCTTGGGAGCACAACATTTTACTGAAAAAACATGTACATAAATCAGCTATCCTCTCACACAGCATCCGTCATTAGCATAATCAAACTTACTACTCGGAAAGAATATTGTATTCCTGCAAGAAAATAGCGTAGTGCTTGTTGGTTTGCGACACAATCGGTCTGTCTATCATTTTCACGGACATGCTTAACGGAGAATCTCCAATGCTACTTCCCGGCACAAGCTTCCTGAAGGAGCCCTGTCTGTTCAGATTGTCGTTATTGCTATCTTCGCTCTGAAATAAGCAACGGAATATCATTACCGAACATTATTATTAAAGGAATATCAGCAGAATATCGTCGCTATTACAAAATGCTAAAAGATATCTAAGATGCATGTTTCTCCACTTGCACTGCTTGTAATCTGAAACTTTTATTCTTCGATATTATTATTAAATCAACCACTAGCAAAATATCATTATTATTAAACATGCAAGCAGCAGAAATTGCATCACTATCGTAATCCTAAAAGTTGTATGTATGACTCTCCACTTTCACCACATGTAATCATATACGATTCTCTTATTATTCTTATTATTATTAATTATTTATATATTATTTATTCATTTTAGATAATATATATATGTAAGTATATTATATTAAAATCACCTTGGCCGCCGACATGACGAGTGAGCATAGAGAAACAAGCGGAATATTAACGTGAATATTAATAACTCGCTACATTACACATGATATGATATCAAGATAAGCTACGCTTGTCGGTAGTCTTCGGCAGAGATCGAGTCGGAGCATTTTGGCAGATCAGCAAAGATTCGACAATCACAGCCAGTCACAGCGAAGAGCGAAGTAGCGTCAATCGTGAATCACACGATGATCACGATGTGAAAGCGAAATAGCTCCGATTGGCTCCGAGCTCCGAGCTCCGAGTGCTCCGACCACAGTTATATTGTTATATAGTACAGTAGGGACACAATCCTTTGTTTTCGATTCAGCCATGATGTAAGAAGACAGGTGTAGCGAGACCAGGAGTAATTTTCTATGACCAATCAGAAACTGGTCCGAGATGCGAGAAGGAACATGGCCTCTCCCATGGTAGAAGACCGATATATTATTTAGTCATTGCACGCATTTCGTAACAAAGGTTCGTAAACAAATATCTCTCTACCGTAAAACATTATAAACATATATATTTATTAATAAATTATAAAACATAAACTTAAATCAAACACATCAAAATATCAAAATTAGATTTATTTTTTTAAATATTATACGTAATGATTTCTGTATACTTCCTCATCAATAATGTTTTTCAATTCCTTCTTTGCCGTATTTAATCTTCCTTTACTACTTATTAATCAATGTAGAAATTGTTCTTTTATCATCAATTTATTATGTATTACATATTCTTATTAATTTATGTGAGAGTTTTCGTATTATTTTACAAATCTTTTAATTTTGTTTGCATTCTTATCACGGACCTTGACTAATGCTACATTTGAATGTGGCGCGATGTTCTGGACCAAAATGGGACTGGACTCTACGCATGCGGCCACCTTTCCACTGCCATCAGCTGTTGAGTCGTCGTCTTATCAATACTCTACGTTGATTTGTTGGTTCTAAAAGTAAAAGCCAATCACGTTCGACTGCTATTGAGCGGTTTGTTCTGCTGAACGCGCCCATCGTGTTCTTCACGTTCCACGATGTAACAATCCTGAAATGGTGTCTTTACAGCGTCTTAAGACGCTCAATTGGCGCGTTCGGCCATGCACATAGGCACATACCCGGTTCTTGCTAGGGATCGGATAGCGAAATTTCGGCTGTACGCCGGTACCTATACCGTCCAATATCGGAGTAACTGAAAATCATCGGCAGTCCACGGTTTTGAAAATAGAGGTATGAAGATCAAAACTCTAAAATTATTTACGTTTTACCAGTAATTACGTACCGGTACCGCGTACACCTTCTTATCGTCGGACTGCGACGTAAGAAAACCTTTAATTACACTGCAGTGAACGTCAAGCACCGATGTATAATTTCCAATAACCGATCGCTACAAATTTTGTCTTCTTTTCACGGTTTACTTCGTCATATTTCTTATTTGCTGTGTCCTGATTCACTCGTCTGCAAGTTTTGTTGCCTCAATCTCACGTTGAAGAAGATAATTCACAAATAACTTGATCTAACGTGATAATTCTTTTCAGGGTGAAAGATGCAGTCTTCATCGGCAGCTCAGACGACTGACTGTTTGGGAAGATGTGATAATTTGACAATGGAAGAGTTAGATCATATCACTGACAATATACATAAAACTTTAACTGACCCAAAGGGCAACGAACTCTTTGCGAGCTATCTGATGGATGGGCAGTTTTCAGATAGTTTGGCATGTTTGAATGTGTATAACACTTGTTCAAAGTACCTGACTGAAGAACAGAATCGATCGTGAGTCTATTACAATTTACATTAATACGGATCTAATACTAAGTATCTTGCTACAAAACGATAGTCCTCAAATATTTTTGTAACATTTGAGATTTGAGATTTTTGAAAAAAATATGTGTAGTAAGCTATGGCAATATTGATTAGGAAAACAAATATACATATGTATACATAAATAATAATAATATATTATATATATAGTACATTTTATAAAACATTAAAATTTCATATATGTTAACATGTATGAAGGAAAATTGTAACAAGAAAATTTACAGGATTCATGGAAGTTCATCGGAAGAGGAATCTAAATCACTGGAATCTCTCGTTACCAAAGTGGAAATGATGCAGAAGACTGTCTTTGATCTGAACGAAATAGATTTGAGTCTTATGAAGCAATTCAAAGATGCCTTGAAGGAAAAAACCAAGGAAGCCTTACTTAATGTTTTAGAAAACATCAAAGATCAATGTCAAAATTGCTTAAGAAAAATGCACGAACGTTTTAGAGATTACATTTTGCGATGTAAAAATACGTCGACGTAAAATTAAGCTCTTTTCTACCTTCGTACATTATGAAGATCTGTGATGCCTATATTTTACACGCATAATTTATTTCTATATACGCAGCTTACACTGTACTTATTATCCCAGAATAATAGTAATACTCAAATGTTATAAAATTAGAAACTGTAGGATGTACTTTTTAAATTATTATACATGTATACATGAGGGTGACACATGTCAGTGGTTCCTTATGTGAAGCGATCGATTCGCAGTCTGCACATCCTATTTGATCTTGACTGTCATCCCATGTATACTCTATTTATAAGAGATTGGAGAATTGATTGTGTAAAGGAGTACGAGGTGAATTGCAACTCGTTCAGGGAACAACAATGAAAGCATTTTCTAAGTCACTGAATCAATAGGCCTGTTTCTTTTAGCTGAATTTCTCTCCAACGTGAAAAGAAAAAGAGGAAAGATGAACCGTGTAAGAAGTTCAGCTAAAACGAACGGGTTTCATTGCTTCGTGATATTTATTCATTGTATTTCAGTTTCTCATGGCGACGAGAAATACAGAGACTCAATAAAATGATCTTGTCAACAAGAACGAGCTTTTTCTGCGTTCTATCCTTTCTGCTGTCAATCAAGTCACGTCACAATTGATAAAATGCTGAACGTAAATAGCACGACGATTAACCAAATCCGCGATACCATCCGAAAATTAGAAGAAAGCTTGAAATGCTCACGGGATTTAGAAGCTACCCAATTTTTGCGATATTCCGCCTTGAAGTTTCGCGATAAAATTCTGATGGACGACTTGAGAAAGATTAAAACGCGAAACAAACAGATGCTAAGTGAGTAAAACTTCTATTCGATACCGTTCATTTAGCTCGTAATCTCTGCGAAAGATTGCTCTTTAGATTTATTTCGACAAAGCGTCACAGACGTTCAGCTTGGCTCTCTCGACATATTGCCGGAAACTTTGAGGAGACAAGTGCAGAAAACATGGCACCAGAAGTAACTTCTTCTACTTATTATGCCATTAACGATTTACCTGTTTACTTGTTAAATTTTAGATATGACGCTTTGTTATCACAGAACGAACAATTAAAGAAACAAATTATCGCTATAGATTGCACGATGAAACAGAAACAGAAAGAAGTATGCTTGAAACCTTATTTGTCCCTATAATTATATGTATATAATAAGATATGTATAAAACAAATTATATTTCGAGATACACGCTACGAGATATTTTTAATATACCGGATATTAATTTATGCGTCAAATTAAGTTTTTATGTATTACAAGCTACGTGTTTTATAATTTGTAATTCTTAAATTATAATATGCATTGTTATTCTCTTCGATTTTTTATTCGCAAATAATTTTTTTGCTATCTAATTTTCAAATACATAAAAGTGCTTTATATATTGTAGATTGATATTTTACAACAAAGATTACTCATCGCAGGGAATGTCATAAACCCTAAGGACAACACTGAAAAGATTTGCAGAAGATGCTGGATTCTAACGAATGAAACTTAAAACATATATAAGAGACAGATGCTTAAAGTCGAAAAATGTTAACATAAATTGCTCTTCTTAAAAATAAAGAAGAAATTCTTGAATAAAATAAAATATATCATTATTTGGAAGAATTAAATGCATATTGAAGCGAAATACACAGTAATGCTTAGCAGAAACAAATATTACGTCGTTAAAAAATAAGACAATTAAGGGATTTAGTTACAATCTGATTGCGAAAGTAGGTGAAAGATCTGTGGCTTCCCTATATGAGTAACGGCGATGCAGTTTTTATAAATACAATAGTATGTAAGATGATTGATGTGTTATGTGAGTTGAAGATCGAAGGAATAGAATATAAAATATCAATATATCTTGTAGGTAAGATAACCAATGCCGTTTTCTTTCTCTGTCTCTCTCTCCCTCTTTTACTCTTTGTGACGCTAACTCGAAAAGACAGATCGATTCGCGATCAAAAAGGTAATAATTCGAAAAATTTGAAATTAAACTTTGCACTGGATACTAACATAACACTGGATACTACATAATTTCAATTATGAAAGCGATCATTATGTAATAATTTTCAGATTAAATTGCTATTGTTAAAATATGCTAAATACAATAAAATTGACTATTCTTCTATCAAAGAAACGAAATGTCAGTGTCTTAGCTATTTTAAGCTGTGGACATTTCAAGAATCTGAAGAACATTTATATCCTATTCCTTCGATCTTCAACTCACATAACACATCAATCATCTTACAATTCGTAGTATTATTTATAAAAACTGCATAAAAAGAATCCATCAAAAAATGGATTTACGTAATTTTTTCTCGGCAAGCGTTAAATTAGTTTATTCAAGTCAATTGTGTTCGCACGTGTTTTATCGCACGCAGAAATATCACAAAAAGGATAGTCAACAATAATAAAATATAATATCACGGTCTCCCTCTCTCTGTAGTCGCTAATGCTACTACACGTAGTAGTTATTAAGAGGGGAGGGTCAAGTAAATGACTTAAATTTTGCGATTTTTTTAAAGAGAATAATAAATTGATTGTTTTGAAAATTAGTGCATGTTTCTATTTAATATTTAAATTACACACAGGAATTTTATGTAAAAATAATGAAAATTCATTGAGCAGTAGCTGGTTAAAAATGTCTCCTCATGAACGTGCTGGGGATCGCAGAGACCGCTCTAATCATCTGAAATCAAAATTTGGGGAAAATTTCATAAATTTATGAAAAAGCGCTCAGCATGAACCTATTTAAGAAAAAAAAATCTAAAATTAAAAAAATAACTAAAAAAAGAAAAAAATTTTTTTTTATTTTTATTACTTTTTTAATTTTACAAGAAAAGTTTATTACTTTCGACTACAATTGGCAATATGTACAAAGAAACGTTATGATGTTTCGACCCTTCGGATTGGATCCTTTTCAAGCATCTAAATAATAAAACAATTTGGTGTAAAGGGTACCCCACGGTAAGATAGGCAAAATGCCACTCTGTCAATGAAATGGAAAAATGACTTTGGATCTGCATAAGTACACTAAAAAAAGAATTTTCTACGATTTTTCCGACTATCCATCCCCCCTCCTTTTCCTAGTGGCACCAAAAAACCGCTTTTTTCAAAAATTATTTTTTTCTCTGGTTCCTCCATGTTAAAAATTTTGAAAAAATTTGAGAATATAGTTTATAAAAAGTACTTAGCACTCAATTTTTTTTAGCTTTAGGCGCGTTGAATATCTAACCTAAAAAAATTAAATAAATATTTGAATCAATTTTTTTCTAATTTCTTTGATAGTTGCAGGTCTAATTACTTTAGAAAATTGTATATTTTAGTGTTCTACATCTACATGTATCTACATAAAAAAATTCCTGTGCGTAGTTTAAATACTAAATAAAAACATGCACTAATTTTCAAAACAATCGATTTATTATTCTCTTCAAAAAAAAATCGCAAAATTTCAGTCATTTACTTGACCCTCCCTCTTTAACGCACGACAATCCGGTCGTTCAACATGTGTTATTTGCGGACGAAATGTGCTTGACGGCGCGAATACCGACGAATATATCTGACGATGCATGTGTCGAATCGACTCCGTAAAAATAATCTTATCAGATAAATAATACGTAGAGAGAGCATGCGATAGACACTTATTGCGACCATAATTAGCTTGATGTGTATGTAAGTTGAAGATCAAAGATCGAAAAAATAGGACTTCAGTACAGTAACACCAGTAACACATTCATCGGTCTCAGCGGCTCATTGTGTTTTTGGACTCACTCCCTGAAACAAGTCCCAGAAACAAAATAAAAAGAAGTTTCTTGTAAGTCAATCTAAAAATCTCTTT